ACCTCACCCTTGCTTCAGCCTCAGCCTCAGTCTGCCTTCAGCCTCGGCCTCAGCCTCAGCCTGCCTCAGCCTCAGCCTGCCTCGGCCGCAGCATCAGCCTGTCTCAGCATTCAAAATGTGGCCCAGGAATGGAGTTCTGGGAACTAGAAGAACACGAAGTGGCCTACAGTTGGCTCCGGGCATTCAAAATCATGCCCAGGTATGGGAGTTCTGGGAAGTCGAAGAGCACGAATGTGGCCCGGGACCCAAAAAACTTGGCTTCCGGGCATTCTTTATTAACTGGTGGCCCCGGGAATGGAGTTCTGGGAAGTGTCCGAAGAGCACGAAGTGGGCCTACAGTTGGGCTCCGGGCATCCAAAATGTGGCCCGGGAATGGTGTTCTGGGAAGTCGAAGAGCACGGAAGTGTGTGACTGTTGGCATCCGGCCCTCCTTAATGTGGCCCGCGGGAATGGAGTTCTGGGGAACTCGAAGAGAGCTCTGGGGAACTCGAAGAGCACGAAGTGTGTGACTGTTGCATCCGGCCCTCCAGAATGTGGCCCGGGAGTGGAGTTCTGGGAACTCGAAGAGCACGAAGTGTGTGACTGTTGCATCCGGCCCTCCAGAATGTGGCCCGGGAGTGGCGTTCTGGGATCTCGAAGAGCACGAAGTGTGTGACTGTTGCATCCGGTTATTCAGAATGAGCCTGGGAATGGAGTTCTGGGAACTCGAAGAGCACGAAGTGTGTGACTGTTGGTGAAAAACGAGGTGGACTCAACCCGCCCGGCAACTCCCAACACCTGCCCGGACCCCCCTGTGGAGTGATCTGTGAGCTGTTTTTAGCCCACTAGAAACCTACCAGTCTTCGATGATAGGTAATTATCCCGGCAAAGCAACCTAACAGCGATGTGTAGAAGCATATATGGAAGCATTCCCCTTAAGATTCAGATGAGAATCCAGTTGTAGAGTTCTGCTGTTCTCGCAGTCGTAGTCGCATTCGCGATGACAGTCGCAGTGGCCTGCAGTAGCCTCAGCCTCAGCCTCAGCCTGCCTCAGCCTCAGCCTCAGCCTGCTTCAGCCTCAGCCTCAGTCTGCCTTCAGCCTCAGCCTCTGTGCCTCAGCCTGCCTCAGCATCAGCCTGCATCCGCCTCAGCCTCAGCCTCAGCCTCAGCCTGCCTCAGCATCAGCCTGCCTCAGCCTCAGCCTCAGCCTGCCTCAGCCTCAGTCTGCCTTCAGCCTGCCTCAGCCTCAGCCTCAGCCTCAGCATCAGCCTCAGCCTCAGCCTCAGCCTCCTCAGCCTGCCTCAGCCTCAGCCTCAGCCTGCCTCAGCCTCAGCCTCAGCCTGCTTCAGCCTCAGCCTCAGCCTTCAGCCTCGGCCTCAGCCCTCAGCCTCAGCCTCAGCCTCAGCATCACCATTCTCAGCCTCTGCATCAGCATCAAAATGTGGCCCCTCGAAGAGCACGAAGTGGCCTACAGTTGGCTCCGGGCATTCAAAATGTGGCCCAGGAATGGAGTTCTGGGCACTCGAAGAGCACGAAGTGGCCTACTGTTGGCTCCGGGCATTCAAAATGTGGCCCGGGAATGGAGTTCTGGGAACTCGAAGACCACGAAGTGGCCTACAGTTGGCTCCGGGCATTCAAAATGTGGCCCGGGAATGGAGTTCTGGGAACTCGAAGAGCACGAAGTGTGTGACTGTTGCATCCGGTTATTCTAAATGTGGCCCGGGAATGGCGTTCTGGGAACTCGAAGAGCACGAAGTGTGTGACTGTTGCATCCGGTTATTCTAAAGGTGGCCCGGGAATGGCGTTCTGGGATCTCGAAGAGCACGAAGTGTGTGACTGTTGCATCCGGTTATTCAGAATGAGCCTGGGAATGGAGTTCTGGGAACTCGAAGAGCACGAAGTGTGTGACTGTTGGTGAAAAACGAGCGGGGCCCCCTGCCGCCCGGCAACTCCCAACACCTGCCCGGACCCCCCTGTGGAGTGATCTGTGAGCTCTTTTGAGTCAACTAGAAGCCTATCAGTCTTCGCTGTTAGGTAATCAGGACATCGCATGTTTGGGTCTGGTGCGGGCACGTTGGGGCCCCCAGATGGCCAGATGCGATGCGACAACATCGGCTTCCCTGCTCGGGTTTGGCCCCCCCGCGATCCCCGCAAACCGCGCACCAGAGGTCTCTCTTGCCGAGGGCTCCTCTTGCCCAGGGTTAGGTCGGGCATGTCCCCCTACAGGCGGATTTGGGACGAAACATTTAAATACATTCCAGAAAAGGGTCCCCAAATGATCAAAAATAGTATAACATCGTCCCCATACTATTTGTTGTACAATTTTTGAACATTCCTTCGGTAGAGTGACAGGCCCGACCTAACCCTAGGGCCACTCTTGCCTCGCATCCGAGAGGCAGGGCTCTGCCGCGAAGTGGCCGTGGCTTCGCGCCGCGAGCCCCGCAGTGTCCCGGGCAGACGCGCCGCGTCGCTCGGAGCTCCGCCCCGCAGCGCCGGCCCCTGGACTTAAGTCGGGCCGTCGGGCCTGTCTCTCTACAAGAGGAAAATTGAAAACATATATATATATATATATATATATATATATATATATACATACCCAGGTTTAGGGGGCCAGGCCGCCTGGAGTGTGCCTCCGCCCTCCATGGGGGGGGGTCCGGGGCCCACTTTCCCTGTGTTTTTTTCAGGGTTTCGGCGTTCCAGGGCCTCCGAGCCCGCCAGGAGTGCGCCTGCGCCCTCCATGGGGGCTCCGGGGCTCACTTTCCCTGTGTTTCTAAAGGGTTCCCGCGTCCTGGGCCTCGGAGGCCGCCGCCTCCGACCCCCCATGGGAGGACGGGGCGGCCGGGGAGGTCCAAAATAGTCCAGGAGGGCCTCCAGAGGCTCCCAAGACGGCCCAAGCGGGCTCCGAGTCGCCGAAAGACCGCTCCAGGACGCCCATGATAGGCCCAAGACGGCCCGAGAGACCCCCGAAGGCACTCCACGACGCTTCAAGACGCCTTGCCAGAGCGCTTCAAGAGGCCAAAATCGTCAATTAGTTGTAAGGTTTTCGAGCGATTTTGGCCTTCCAGCCTTTTCGGCTGTTCGACGTTCCAAGACGGCCCAATAGGCCCCCAAGAGCGCCCCAAGACGGCCCAAGAGGGCCCCAAGACGGCCCCAGAGTCGCCCAAGACAGCCCAACAGAGCCCCAAGACGGCCCCAAGATGCGCCCAAGAGGGGGACCACGACTCCAAAATTCAACCCTCCCGCTTGAAGAGTGCCCCAGGAGGCCCCAAGGAGCCCCCAAGAGGCCCCAGGAGGCCCAAACGAAGCCTAAAGAGTCCACAAAACAGCCCCGAGGAGGCCCCACAACGGTCCCAAAACGGCTACCGAGAAGCTGCGAAACTGCCTTCACGACGTCCCCGCAGGCCAGCCACGAGATCCAAACCAACACCCATGAGGCCTCTGACCCACCACCCAGGGCACGGTGGCGGAAGCAGTGACAGCACTTGTGCACAGCATGTTCCGGCGGGAGCCTTCCGGAACACGCTGCAGGAGGAGGAAGATCAAGAGGAGAGAAAGGTGGAGTGGGAGGAGGAGGGGGGGGGGGACGAGGAGGAGGAAGAGGCCTCACAGACAGCTCCAAGATAGCCGAAGAGGCTTCAAAGAAGGCCCTGGGCGGCCCACGAGGGCCCCAAGGCGGTGCCTGAGGCGCCCAAGACGGCCCGAGAGGGCCCCAAGAGAGGCCCAACAAGGGAAACACGAACCGAGAATCCGAGCTTTCTACCCCGAGAGGTTCTCGGGAAGTCCCAAGAGGCCCCCAATCGGATCCAAGAGGCTCCCAAGAAGCTCCCAAGAGGGCCGACGAGGTTCCAAGAGATCTCCCAAGGTGGCCCCAAGAGGCACAACTCATTGTTTTACGATTGGGCTTTGACGGGTTTTATTTGTTCTGCCTTTTGGCATCCCGATGCTCCAAGACGGCCCAAGAGGCTTCCAATACCCGTCCCATATAGAGGAAGAGGCCTCCAAGAGGGCCCCAAGACGGCCCGCGATGGCCCCAAGACGGTGCTTGAGGCGCCCAAGACGGCCCGAGAGGGCCCCAAGAGCCCCAAGAGAGGCCCAAGAAGGGGAACGCGACCCAACAGCAGAGCGGTCCCCCCACAAGGCCCACAGGAGGCCGCAAGAGGCCCTCAAGTGGTCCGACGAGGACCCCAAAAGCTTCCCGAGGGCCTAGAAGGCCCCTAGGAGACGTCCAAGAGGCTTTACAAAAGCCCAAGACTGCCCTCGATGCGTCAAAACTGCTTCCAGGACGCCCCAGGGAGGCTTCCGGATTGCCTCAATCTGGCCGCAGGTGGCCTGAAGTCGGGCCTCCACGCAGCCAAGACGGCCAATGACGGCTTCAGATTGCAGAACCGATGCCCCCAAGGGACCCTCAGACGCCCCCCCAAGAAGCACCCAAGAGGTGCCTCCAACAGCCAGTTGACGAAGCATGCGAAACACCCCAGAAGCTCCTCAGATGCCGTTGCGCGCCTGTGCTTGATAGCGTTGTCCAAGATCGTCCAGCGCCCCCCCGGCCTGGGCTAGAACCTGAGCGCGCGCGAAGCGCGCGCGCGATGGTTTTAGCCCAGGGGCCCGAAAACAGCTGCCCGACCCTCCATGGGAGTACCGGGGCTCATTTTCGCTGTGTTTTTATAGGGTTTCGGCGTCCCGGGCCTCAGAGGCCGCCGCGATGGTCCCGGACATTTTCCAGATCCTCGGCGCGGGCTCCAAGACCATTCCGCAGAGGGCTCCAACAGGCTCCAGGGCAGCCCAAGAGGGCTCCAAGACGGCTCCAGGAACGACTGCAGGGTCTCATTTTTCTTGTGTTTCTGCAAGACGGCTCCAGGAAGACTGCATGTCTTATGAGGATGGCTTCCGCCTCTCGCCCCGAGCATCCCAAACTGCCTGAACGATTCCCACTCGCCTTCCCAAAACCCAGCGCTTGCCCAAGCGCGTTCCGGACGGTCTTCGCCGGAACGCGCTGGAATGATCACGCGCTGCGGTTTCCCATGCCAACGTCCTCGGACGTGGGCGCCCTGCCACGATCGCGTTCCAGGAAGATGCTCCCGGAACGCGCTGAAAAGATATGGCCACATCTCGGGGACGCTCCCGGCACTGCTGCCCCAGCCTTTCCGGGCAGCCTCCACATGCTCCAGGAGGGCCTAAGACGCCCCCCAGGAGCCCCCAGAATGCGAAAGGATGGCCCAAGATGCTCATGAGCAGCACAAGTCAGCCTTCCGACGGCTCTCGAGGCTCCCAGGTGGCCTCCAAGAGACCCCAAGAAGTCTGATAGGTATCACGGTACGGCCCGAAGAGGCCAAAGTCGTATATGTTCAATGGTATTTTCAATGTTTTTGGCTTCTCGCGTTTTCCAGCTTGCACGGGTCCAAGAGCGCCGAAGAGCCTCCATGGGGGCTCCGGGGCTCACTTCCCCTGTGTTTCTAAAGGGTTCCCGCGTCCTGGGCCTCGGAGGCCGCCGCTTCCGACCCCCCATGGGAGGACGGGGCGGCCGGGGAGGTCCAAAATAGTCCAGGAGGGCCTCCAGAGGCTCCCAAGACGGCCCAAGCGGGCCCCGAGTCGCCGAAAGCCCGCTCCAGGACGCCCAAGGTAGACCCAAGACGGCCCGAGAGACCCCCGAAGGCACTCCACGACGCTTCAAGACGCCTTGCCAGAGCGCTTCAAGAGGCCAAAATCGTCAATTTGTTGTAAGGTTTTCAAACGATTTTGGCCTTCCAGCCTTTTCGGCTGTTCGACGTTCCAAGACGGCTCAATAGGCCCCCAAGAGCGCCCCAAGACGGCCCAAGAGGGCCCCAAGACGGCCCCAGAGTCGCCCAAGACAGCCCAACAGAGCCCCAAGACGGCCCCAAGATGCGCCCAAGAGGGGGACCACGACTCCAAAATTCGACCCTCCCGCTTGAAGAGTGCCCCAGGATGCCCCAAGGAGCCCCCCAAAGGCCCCAGGAGGCCCCCAAAAGGCACCCAGGAGGCCCAAACGAGGCCTAAAGAGGTCACAAAACAGACCCGAGGAGGCCCCACAACGGTCTCAAAACGGCTACCGAGAAGCTGCGAAACTGCCTTCACGACGTCCCCGACAGGCCAACCACGAGATCCAAACCAACACCCATGAGGCCTCTGACCCACCACCCAGGGCACGGTGGCGGGAGCAGTGACAGCACTTGTGCACAGCATGTTCCGGCGGGAGCCTTCCGGAACACGCTGCAGGAAAAGGAGGAGGAGGAAGATCAGGAGGAGAGAGAGAGAGAGCTGGAGTGGGAGGAGGAGGAGGGGGACGAGGAGGAGGAAGAGGCCTCGCCCACGCAGTTTCGCCTCGCCCGCACGCACGGCACGCACGAACACGAAACCGAAACCGATTTCCCGGTAGAGGGGCTCTCCGTTCCACTCGGATCTTACCCCCTCACCTCCGATCACTATCGATTTCACTCCACGGGACACCGCGGGCCACCACGGGACACCTGCGGGACACTGGCGGGACACCAGCAGGACACCAGCGGGACACCGCGGGCCACCGGCCGCCAGAGAAGAAACATTTGGTCCGGCCGCGGCCCAGCCACAGGATGATTTCGGGACGCCAGCGGGACACCGCGGGCCACCAGCCGCCGGAGGAGAAGCAGTTGGTCTGGCCGCGGCCCAACCACAGGAGGATTCCCTCTCGCCCGCCCACGCAGCTTCGCCTCGCCCGCACGCGCGCACGGCACGCACGACACGAATCCGACCGAAATCGATTTCCCGGTAGGGGGGGTCTCCGTTTAATGTCGGACCCACCCCCCAACCTCCGATACATATGCAATTTCTGATCCAGAATATTTCATTTTAGTATTAAAAGAATTAAACGGCCTAGGGGCGATGTTTCGACTATTGTTTGACTACGTTTGAGCATGCGCTGAGTATTTCTCATTTTTCGTCCAACAGCCGCCTGTAGGGGAGCATGCCCGACCTAGCCCTAGACCGCCTGCGTTCCACGGGCCAGCCAGACTCTCTGTACCCTCCGAAAAGACAAAGAACGGCATGAGCATACATTTTCTCGGCGGCGAGCGAAGGGGGGAGGTGAGAGGAAAAGGCCGTCTCAGAAGGCGGCGGGACATCCCAGAGGCCCTCGCGCCTTCTGAGAGGTTTTTTATCTATTCGGGGGAGGCTTTGGACACCTTTCAGAAGGCTGGGGAACTTCCGAGCCTTCTGAAAAGGGCCTTTTCCTTCTCGTTTCCCCCCCTCGTCCGCCGCCTGTTTCCGGAGGCCCGCACAGATGTCTTGCATCGGCGCAGGGCCCCCCCTGGCGGCGCCTCCAGCGCCGCCCTTGGCGCGCTCCGCTCGGGGGATCCAGCGCCAATCCCAAAACTCCGTGCGCACCTCCGAAAAGTGCATGCTTTTATGTGTTGTTGTCGTCTTCCGGCCCTTGCAAGCTTACGGCGCACGCCAGTGCCTCGTTCCCGCTCCTGCCTCCGCTTGCTCCCGCGTCGTTTGATGCTTTGTTGTTCCTCCTTCGCCTCTCTCCCCTTTTCCGTTTCCCCCGTCCCCCTCTCCTCCTTCCCTTTCCCCCACACGTGCGGCTTGGACGGCACATGACGGAGCAGGGCAGAGCAGGGCAGGCCGGCAGGTCGCAAGGTCGGGGCATCGGCAGGCCGAGCGGCCAGCGCAACAGCAGGCGCTGGAGGCAGCGGAGCAGCGCAGGCCCCCGCAGCGCGGGCGAGAGCGAGGAGCGCGAGAGGAGCATTGGCCGTGCGCGCGCGAGAGAGAGAGGGGTTTAGCCTTGATCACCAGAGAGAACTTCGAGCGCCAAAAAAGGACCGAAACTCGAGGGTTTTCACCTGGGAGACACTCGTCCGACACTGTTCCGACACTCTTTCGACGCTTTTCTGGGATGTGGTCCTTCAGAACGATGGGATGTGTTCCTTCAGAACGATGGGAGCAACGTAAGTATGGGTCCTGGGCTTGTGCCGTGTGAGTTCTGCGCGTGCCCCCCGCCGCCCCCTCCCGGGCGGTCGTGGTGGCCGGTTGCCGCGAGCCCCTGGGCGGTCACTGGGGGCCCAGGCGACTGGTTGCGCGCGGTCCGCTGCGCTCGACCTTCTCCGCCTCGACGCCACGCGCGAGGCCGCGACGCGCCCCCCCCGAAATGCGTGTGTGCGTGTGTGTGTGTGTTGTGGTGTGTTGTGCTCTGTTCTGTTCTGTTCTGTTGTGGTGTGGTGTGGTGTGGTGTGGTGTGGGATGTGTGTGTGTGCGTGTGTGTGTGTGTGTGTCTGCCTGTCTGTGTGTGTGCGTGTCTGTGTATATGTGTGCGTTAGTGTGTGTGTGTGTGTGTTCGTGTGTGTCCGTGTGTGTCTGTGTGTGTTGGTGTATAAGTGCGTGTGTGCGCGTGTGACCATCACCACTGCGACCAGCGCGTCGAAGAGCGAACGCTTGCCGATTAACAAGTCAGCGTAGGGGGTCCCATGTGTGTGTGCGCGTGTGTGTGTGTTTGTGTTTGTATGTGTGTGCGCGTGTATGTGTTTATGTGTGTGTTTGTTTGTCTGTGTTTGTGTGTGTTTGTGTGTGTTTATGTGTGTGTGTTTGTGTGTTGGTGTGTGATTGTGTGTGTTTGTGTGTGTTTGTGTGTGATGGTTTGTGTGTTTGTGTGTGTGCGTTTGTGTAGGTTTGTGTATGCTTATGTGTGTTTATGAGTGGTTGTGTGTGTTTATGTGTGTGTTTGTGTGTACTTGTGCATGTTTGTGTGTTTGTGTGTGGTTGTGTGTGTGTTTGTGTCAGTTTGTGTGTGTGTGTGTTTCTGGGGTTGTGTGTGCTTGTGTGTGTTTGAGTGTGTGTTTGTGTTTGTATGTGTTTGTGTGTGTTTGTGTGTTTGTGTGTGTGGTTGTGTGTGGTTGTGTGTGTTTGTATGTGTGGTCGTGTGTGTATGTCGTGTGTGTTTGTGTGTGCGTGTGGTGCGTGTGTTTGTGTGTGTATGTGTTTGTGTGTGCGCGTGTGTGTGCGTGTGTGTGCGTGTGTGCGTGTGTGCGTGTGTGCGTGTATGCGTGTGTGCGTGTGTGCGTGTGTGTGCGTGTGTGTGTGTGTGTGTGTGTGCGTGTGTGCGTGTGCGCGTGTGGGCGTGTGTGCGTGTGCGCGTGTGTGTGCGCGCGGTTGTGTTTGTGTATGTATGTATTTGTGTGTGTGCGCGTGTGTGCGTGTGTGCGTGTGTGCGTGTGTGCGTGTGTGCGTGTGTGCGTGTGTGAGTGTGTGCGTGTGTGCGTGTGTGCGCGTGTGCGTGTGTGCGTGTGTTCGTGTGTGCAAGGGGTGCAAGGGTGCAAGGATGCAAGCGTGCAAGGGTGCGTGTGTGTGTGTGCGTGTGTGCGTGCGTGCGTGTATGCGTGTGTGCGTGTTTGAGTGTGTGCGTGTGTGCGTGTGTGCGTGTGTGCGTGTGTGCGTGTGTGTGTGTGTGTGTGTGTGTGCGTGTGTGTGTGTGTGTGCGTGTGTGCAAGGGTGCGCGTGTGCGTGCGTGTGTGCGTGTGTGTGTGTGTGCGTGTGTGCGTGCGCGTGTGCGCGTGCGCGCGTGCGCGCGTGCGTGCGCGTGTGCGCGTGCGCGCGTGCGCGCGTGTGCGCGTGTGTGTGCGTGTGCGCGTGTGTGCGTGTGTGCGCGTGTGCGCGTGTGCGAGTGTATGCCCTCCGTGTCAGCGTAGGGGGTCCCATGTGTGTGTCCCATGTGTGTGTGTGTGCGCGTGTGCGTGTGTGCGTGCGTGCGTTTATGCGTGTGTGCGTGTGTGAGTGTGTGCGTGTGTGCGTGTGTGCGCGTGTGCGCGTGTGCGCGTGTGCGCGTGTGCGCGTGTGTGCGTGTGTGCGCGTGTGCGCGTGTGCGCGTGTATGCGTGTGATCGTGCATGCGTGTGTGCGTGTGTGCGTGTGTGCGTGTGTGCGTGTGTGCGCGTGTGCGTGTGTGTGTGCGCGTGTGCGTGTGTGCGTGTGTGCGTGTGTGCGTGTGTGCGTGTGTGCGTGCGTGCGTGTGTGCGGGTGTGTGTGTGTGGGTCTCTGTGTGTGTGGGTCTCTGTGCGTGGTCACTCTGTGGGCCCTCCGTGCGCTGGTCCATAATAGCCGCTGTCCCAGAGGGCCTACACACGCGCAGGGATAAAGTGGCATTGGCCCCGCTGTCACTGTTCAGGCACTTTGCTATGATCCGAACAGCTTGTGAAGGAAAGCCATACACATTCGCGGACCTCTCTCCACGTCCTGAGATGACAACGGTTCCATGCAGTGATTGCCAAACTTGGAAACGGAGCGGTTCCAAGCAAATTCTGCATGACGTTCTTCATTTCCCCCAAGTTTGATCGTACCCACCAGGGCTTCGGCACAACCTATTTGCATGTTTCCTGACGCACGGTGGTGGGCACATGGCGCAATGTGATGTTGAACAGGTTGGGCTGGAAGAGGTAAAGAGGGTCGACAAGAAGGAAAGCCATGGTAGACGAAGGGACGCAGTAAGAGGGGAGAGGGAAGGATGTGGAATCTGGGTCCTCTTGCCGGCAGCCGCGTGGGGAACAGACAGGGAGCCACATACGCCAGGTGTTGTCGTTCTCCAGGGGCTTGGCAGCTGTCGAGGAGGCGCCTGGGGATGGATGCCGCGGCCCAATAGGTTAGGGCGCAACGCTTGGGAGGTTGAATTCAGCAGCGGCGCTGGTACCTACATCCGTGGTCGAAAGCCGACCTAATCCAGCATAGCCCCAGCGAGTCTGGCGCAATACCGCTTACTTTGGCGTAATCTTAGTTTACCTCGTGTTAATCCTGCCGAATGTTTTTTGTCATGTCTGCCTCACAGCCATTCGTCGTTTTTGCAGGGGCCTCCCTGGGGCTGCTCTCCAACACTGGGGGGAGCGGGGTGCGGACAGCACGGATAGACGACAGGGGAGAAGAAGGCCCGAGGAGGCGGTGATGCCGCCCGCACCGCGGGGTGCCTGGATCTCCTGCACGGGGACGCGAAGATGGCCGCGGCTGCGCGATCCTCGGTCTGGGCAGGAGGCGTGGCCCTCGTCCAGCAGGCCGCCCGAGGACACGCCGATAGATTCGCACCTCGCGAAGCGCGAAGCTGGGGCCGGGGGCCGCTCCTCGGATCTCCAGGTCGGGGCGCCGCTTCGCGATCCAGGCTCGCCGCGGTAGGAGAAGCTCCCGGCTCCTGCGGTCCTTCCTGCGAAGGCCTCACGGCCGGTGCGACGACGACGACGGCGACGATGACGATGGCGACGGCGACGGCGACGGCGACGGCGACGGCGACGGCAACGGCGATGATGACGACTGCGCCGACGACGACGACGACGACGCCGACGACGACGACGACGACGACGACGACGACCGCGACGACGACGACGATGACGCTGATGCGCTGGAGCCGAAAGCTTCTCTCAGGAAGGGGTGCCCTTCCCTGGGGGTGGGTGTCACAAGCCCCAGGCCCCGGCCCCCAGGACCCCTCCCCCCTTCAAGCGGGGGTGGAGAGATCAAAGGGAAGGGGCTGCCCTTCGACTCGATTACGACGCTGTTCGATTCCCTCTGGCTGGAACGCTTGGGGGAGAGCGACGACGACGACGACGATTCGAACGGAAAGTCCTCTCGCACACGCCGACAGGGTCTGCGAATTTGGCCGGCCTGATGGTAGCACGATGGCTGCAATGGAGGGGGGAGGGAGGCTCGAAGAGGCAGGATGCCGCCCGCACCGCGGCGGCCTGTGGATGCCGTGCAGGGGCGCGGTCTAGGCCAGAGACGACGACGACGAGGACGACGACGACGACGACCACGATGACGACGACGACGACGACGATTACCACGACGACCACGAAGACCACGACGAAGACGACGACGACCACGACGACGACGACGAAGACGACGACGACGACGACGACGACGAGGACGATACACAACGATACTCGCATTTCGCGCCGCGCCAAGCTAGGTGACCTCTGGGCAAGACGCTGAAATAAGGACAGGTTTGGGCTCCGGAGGGTCCGTTCACTGTCGGGACGTTCCTAAGATTCAGGTCGTTGGACATGTTCGCGGCCGAGGCTCGCCTCCTCTTCCTCCTCCTCCTGCTCCTCCTGCTCCTCCTCCTCCTCCTCCTCCTCCTCCTCCTCCTCCTACTGCGGTCGAGCTGCTGGATGCCGTTTGGAAAAAGTGCCTCTCTCTTGTGCGTGGGGAAAAAGTGTTCGTCGGAATGCCAGTGCTGATACTCAGAAATGGCTAACCCGCAGAAGGGTCACGATGCAGTGGCTTCGCGCGCAAGACTCCACCGCCCCCGACAAGACTGCTGCGATCAGCAGCGCTGTTGCACGTATGGAGGAGGTTGGGAGCGTTTGGACGGGATCGGAGGGGGAGGCTTCGACTCAAGTTAATATGTCACCAACCTCGCATCCCGCCTTCCTTGCCCGTCTTGAGAATCCCGACACTCGGGCGGCCGTCTGCGATTTGCTCCAGTCCCGTTTGCAGCAGCAGACACGACATGATGCGTCGGCGGCGAGGCAGTCTTGGAAGGAATTTTCGGAGCTCGCGTTCCAGAGAGGGGGTAGCATTGCTCACAAGTTCGCGAAGGGTCCACAGGGCAATTCCCAACCTGTGCTTGCTGACTCCTTGCCCGCTGTCGGGCATGAGGCCTTGAAGGCCATGCTGGGTACCTGGGTCTCGCTTTGGAAGCTGCCGTCCAGGGACCATGAGCCCCACCCCCTCTCCTGGGATGTTTCAGGCGCGGCTCCCCTTCCAGACATAGAAGTGGAAGCTGTCAGAGCGGCTCTACAGACGTTCCGGCCAAACACGGGGCTTCGATCTAAAGATCTGGTCGCTGCCTTGGTCGTGATTTTACATAGGCGGGAGTCTGAGCCAGAGCTAACTGACATTTGGTTCATTCTCATTGTTTTCCTCCCCAAACCTCAAGGGGGGAAAGGCCGATAGGCCTGCTGCCGCTGGTTTCCAAATGGGAGTCCAAGTTGCCTGACAGATTTTTCTGGGGGGCCTCCCGTGAGACCTCGTGTGACAACTCGGCGTGGGTTCATAATACCTTGGCTGCGGTGTCTCCCCAGTTAGGCTTTGTCAGTTTCAGTGCATTTGTTGACCTAAGAAAGTTGAAATGGTCAGCCATCGGGAGCTCCTGTGCGCGGCCAGAGACACAGATTTTCCCCTAGCCCTCCTGAGGCCCTTGTGTGCTCTGTGTAGAGGGCCCCGTAGGGCCGTGTATCAGCAGTCGGTGTCGGACGTCATAAACGCGAACGGGTCCATCGTCGCGGGGTGCCCTTGCGCCACAGGACTTGCGAAGTTGATGACCATGACGACGTTGAGGAGCACAGGGGCTAAGTGCAACCTGATCAGGATCAAGAACTTCATCGATGATGTCAGTCTCCATGTGATAGGTGGCCCAGCTCAAGTCCAAGCTCAGGCCATCGAGGGGGTGGCCATGCTCATCGAGTGCATGGAGGACCGCAAGCTTCCAACCTCTTGGGGCAAGTGCGGCACCGTGTGCAGTGACGAGGCTGTGTTCCGGAAGGTCAGAGCCCACATCCGACATGTATGGCCTGACGATGTCCCCTTCCCTGCCAGAGAGGCCTTTTTTCACAGAGATTTGGGATGTGACGCTATTGACGGAAGGATGAGGAGGATTAGCACCCAGATCTCGAAGATTTCAGAGGCATTTCAGCGATGGGGTCCGTCTGAAAGCACTGCAGGGCCTAGGCCGACAGAAGTCTGCTGTCCATCGTGCTGGGGTTCTGGCCAAGCCTCTCTGGGGCTCCAGCGTTCACGGAATGGCGAGTTCCAGAATACAGACGCTGCGCATGTCGTACTTGAACGTTGGCAAGTACAAGCCAGGCGCGTCTGTCGGCCTCTCGCTGCTCACGGCAGAATGCGGCTGGCAGCAGGATCCCTTGGTCATTGCGACTGTGGACGCAGTCCAGACCTTTGCTGTTATTATGAATTCGCAGGCCGTCACATGGATGGTCGTGGAAAAGCTGCTTAATGAAGCAAGACCACTGCTCCTGGACCCGCAACGCTGGGCCATGTGCAAAAACCCGATTGCAGCGCTCCCCCTCTCGCTCCACAGGATTGGGTGGTCTTGGGTGGATACTTACACGATCAGGGATGATGATGAGCAGTTTTGGGATTTCAGGAACACGCCGCCCGCCCTCCTTAGCATGCTGATCAAGCACGGGGCTAGGAGGCTCATTGACAGGGAGGCTCTCCACAAGCTCTCGGCAGGACACCCTGGAGTCCCTCAAGGTCCCCTCTCGTGGATCCCCATGAACGAGGTTCTTCACTCGAAGAGAAGTAGTAAGTTGCCCCAGAGGCAGAGGAGGTCCCTTAGAGGTCTATGCTCTGGGGCGCACGGGTGCCAGCACAGGGTGTCGAAGGCCTTCAGCGGGAAATCAAAGGTTTGTCTGAGGTGTCAAGGCTCACCAGGCACGTTTTACCACCGTTTTTTCGAGTGTGCCGACTTCTACTACTTCAGGCAGGAGGGGCCCCTGATGGAGTTCAGGAACCCCGGTGGCAAAGATGAAGACGGCACCGACGGCGCTCCAGGATCTATGTTGCCGGGGCCTTGTCCCTGACCCTGCTCAAGCCTTTGTCAATCCGAGCAGAAATCCTGCACGCCACTTCTATGACATGGACCCCGACGGCATCGTGCATGTGGAAGGCGGTTTCGGCTTCACATCTGGGGGTGGGTTCTACACGGACATCCCGTGCATGAGGAGTGTTGGTTGGGCGGTTGTGATGCACGACAATGAGAGGAGGCGCGTTGCCAGATATTTTGGAGCAGTGCCATACGATTTGTGCCCACAGCAAGTTGCGAAGTGCGGAGAGGATTACGCGATGCTTATCGCAAGCAGACAAGTGATGGGCTCATACACGGTTTTATCAGACTGCAAGGGTACGCTCTCATACTGCAGGCCCCCCAGCCTTTGGGGGCTGGCAATGCCAGAGCAAACGCGTGGAAACATGTGGGACATGATGAAGAGTTTCACAATCAGAATTTCAAGCATGTCAAAGGGCATGCGGCTCCCAACGACGTGACCGAAGGGGTTCTCTCAGATTTCGAGAAGACGGGCAACACCACGGCAGGCGAGCTGGCGAAGAGAGGCGCAGCGTACAACTTGCCAGATGATGTGCACGTGGAATTTGTTCGAGGACGCAGGAGGCTGCACATGAAGTTATTGCATTACGTTGGCAGTTTTTTTTTGTTTTCAGAATTGGCTGTATGATTCAAACCCTGAGGGGCTGGATTATCATTTCCCATGGAAAGAAGATGATGCAGTCCAGTCGCAATCGGCACCTTTGACCTCGTTGTGCATGGAGCCGATGTGCGAGTTAAGATTGGAAGATGATCTGGATGGTTTTCTGGAGCCGTGGTTTGCTGCCAACCACAGCTCGGTGGCATATCCAATGGTGGGCTCGCCTCAACTCATTGTATTATGTTCGACATGCTGTCAGCATGTCTGCTCTGACTCGAAGAACCGTCGAGGCCTGGCACAGAGGTGCAACGGCAAACATGGCGGAGGCATGGAGGTCGAGGATCGCAGGCACCTGGACAACCTGAGGCATCCCCAGTCCATCCGTGCTGAGGTACGTCTAGAGTCTCCGAGATCGCCGTCAGGTCCCGCCAGGGACCTGATCCGAGCCTCGAAGAAGTGGGAGCTCGAGGAGAAGCCCATCTCGACGCATATTCCAATGAAGAAGCAGAGGCTTCTGGACACTTCTAAGATTATCCTGGCATGCGGCCTGGAATTTCAGGAGGCGGTGGAGCTAGGGCGGGTCGCCGCAGATGACGAAGAAGACCAGGAGTCGGAGTGGCAGCCCACGGTGGGAGATTGCTCCCCATGGGCTACTTTCAGTACTGAATGTGGTCTGGATGTGGTGTTTGATCCTCGCGGGCCTCATCAACTCGTTTTGCTTTATTTCCTTGTCTGGGATAGGCTCGGTTGGGCCAGGCCCAGGCACTGCACATTCTCGTCGAGGCGTTTGGCGACGTCCGTCCAAGGGCTTTGGGTTGCAGCGCTGGCTCTTGGACCCTCCAAACGGCGGGCGCGCCGAGGGGCGACGTCCGTCCGTGGGCCTTGGGTTGCAGCATCGCTGGCTATTGGACCCTCTATGCGGCGGGCGCGCCCAGCCTGTTTTGCAACGCGGCTCAAGCGTGGTGATGTATGACCGCGCCACGCTCACTTTCCACGCGTGCTTCAGTGGCGTGGTCCTCGTGAGGCACCGCGTGTGCGCGGGCTCCCCGCTCGAGGCGCTGGGAGCCCTGTGGGTGCTCTTCCTCGCCGCGGCGGGCCTCGTGCAGGTGAGCACAGGCCTGCCGCAAGCCCCGTGCACCCTGGCCGCCCGCGCGGCTTGCTGCGGGGCAGGCATGTTCCTCGCTCCCCTCCTTGGTGATTGCAAGGTGGCCCTGGCCTTCGGGCTCCACCGTGTAGGTGCTGGGGCGGGGGGGTGAGGGGTGTGCCTGCCTCCTCTCTGCTCTGGATCCAACTGCCCTCGGCTTCCGCTCGCTCGCTCGCTCCGCCTCGGCCTCCTCCTCGCTCGCTCCCTCCCTTTCCTCCTCCTCCTCCTCCTCCTCCTCCTCCTCCTCCTCCTCCTCCTCCTCCTCCTCCTCGCTCCTTCCGCAGAGTCCCTCATGGTAGCACGATGACTGGAGGCGGCCCGTGAGTGGCAGGGAGATGGGCGCACCGCAGTGGTGCTCGTGGCCCTGCGCATGGAGCGTCGGTCCGCCTCGCGCGGGGGGCGCGCGGGAGCTGCAGCGGGGGCCCGTCGTGGGTGTGGCGGAAGATCCGCAGTGCCCGGGCGGAAAAGGAGGTGGAGCTCCAGCAGCGGCGCCCAGACGGCAAACGCTTTGGGGCTGGCCGCATCGGGCCCGCGCGGGCGCCGGAGGCCCGAGCGACCGGCCCCCACTGGTGGGAGGCGCTCGGCCGCCGGCGGCGTTCCCCTCCCCGAGCCGATCCGCAGCCGCAGTGCCCGGGCGGACGGACAGAGTGAGAGAGAGAGAGAGAAAGAGAGCGCAAAGGATCAAGCAGTGGCGAAGCGTCCCAGCTTGCCTATAGGCCCACCAAACCATGTTCAAAGAACCCTTTTGTGGTCTGCACGAAATGCTTTTAGCATTTAGGGTTGGGGCTGTCTTGCTTTAGCACATCGCTTTTGTGTTCTAAGAACATTGCTTTGTTCTTAGAACATGTTGGGGTCCTCCGAAATTTCGTAATACACCTACAGGAATGCCAGGACGATCGGTCCCCGCTCAAAAGGAGGAAAGAAGGACGAAGATGAGAGGGGGAGCTGGCAGATAGGACGTAGGCCTCGTGCTTTCGGTTTGTGCTTCAGGGCTAGCGTGTCCGGTAGGTGCTGGGGACGACGCAAGGCGCAAGACAGTTGAGTGATACGTTCAATTGTTTACACATGTTTGATTTTTCCACAAAGCATAATCAACTGTTGACACATGTTTGGTTTCTGCCCGAGGCGGCGTGTGACACCAGGATCCCTCCAACACTGCGTTCGTTACCCCAAACATGTTTGCACTGAGGCGGTCTCACGGTGCTCCTACCTAGTTGGTGTGCGGTTCTGGTTGTCTCGCCCGGTTGCCGCCCGCGAGCGCCTCGCCGGCGGTATCGTGCGCTTCGCCCAGAGGGCACCCGCGCAAGCTCACAAGCCAGGCGGCCTGGCCTCACGACTCTGGGCAGACGCAACCTCGGAGTGACAGGACGGTTGGCTACTCCAGCAGGCCTGGAGCGGACCTCTCTCGTAAGGCGGTCCAGGGAAGCCTACTGACCCTCCTTGCCGGCGCCATTGGTTTTCGGTTCATGATTCGGGCCTGCAGCGGCCATTCGGGACGATCCGGACAGCCCCGGAACACTCTCGACGAGGCGAAGTTGCTGGAAGGCATCCCGAGGCTTGAAGACCGCCGAAAACCGCCGAAAACGCCTGACCCCACCCTCCGAACTTCGAACGCGAAACCTCACATCACGCCAGGGAGACCACGTTGTGAACAAGTCACGACGTCGGGGGCGCCTGGGTCAGGCGGGCGCGCTGGCGCGCGTCCGCGGGGCAGGTGCTCGCGCAGGACTCCGCCAACGTGGAGCGGGCCCACGCCTACAACGGCCTGGTGGTGGCCGCGTTGGGTCTGGAGGACCCGGGCATGATCACTCATGCGTCAGCTCCTTCCTTCCTTCTCCTCCTCCTCCTCCCCCTTCTCCTCCTCCTCCTTCTCCTCCTCCTCCTCCTCGTGTTTTCTCCTCCTCCTCCTCCTCATCATCATCATCCTCATCCTCCTGCTCCTGCTCCTCTTTCCTGCTCCTCCTCTCCTCCTCCTCTCCCTCCTCCTCCTCCTCCTCCTCCTCCTCCGTGTCTCCCTCCTCCTCCTCCCTCCTCCTCCTCCCTCCTCCTCCTCCTCCTCCTCCTCCTCCTCCTCCTCCTCCTCCTCCCTTAGCCGGGGTTTTGTAATGCTCAGCCAAGGGAGCTAGCAGAGAGAAAAATGGTTGGACTATCCTGTCTCGGTTTGCGTGGCGGATATGGATTTGGGGGTTCCGACCGTCGTTTGCGCGCCCGCATTCGAAGTAATCCGTTTCCGATGCCTTTTCGAGGGAGTGCAACGCAGCGTCTCGCGAGGGCTGGGGGCGAAGGTTTCTCAGGGCGAATTTGCGACACGAGATATCTTGCTTATTCGCAACGTTCCGCGCATTTCCGCCAGCCCATCCAGAAACAATCACCAGGCGAGTTGCCCTGGCCCGGGATGCGCAGCAGCATGCAGCCACGCTCTAATAGCTTCCAGGCGGCATCTCGGGGCCTTCGAAGGCCATCTTGGGGCATTTCTGGGGGCTTCTGGGGGCTCTCGTGGGGCCCTGTTCGGGCCCTCTTGGGCTCTCTTGGGGTCTTGAGGGGCTAGTTGGGGCCATCTTGGAGGTCATCGATCAAAGAAGTGGGGGCAACCAATTGCGTCCCCCCCTCAAAGGCCGGGACCCTGTTGGGGTTTTGTTTGGGCCTCTCGGGGCCGTCTTGGGCCCCTCTTCGGGGTCGGTTGGGCCATCTTCGCATGATCTGCCCTTCGTGGCCCCCGATCGTTCGCGCCCGTCGTGGCCCCATGCGCATGCCCTTCGTGGCCCCGTTGTCGCCCTTCGTGGCCCCCTTCCTGCCCTTTGTGGCCCCGCTGTCGCCCTTCGTGGCCCCCTCGCTGCCCTTCGTGGCCCCGTTGCTGCCCTCAGTGGCCCCGTCCTTGCCCTCCGCAGCCCAGTATACGTATGCCCTTCGTGGCCCCCGCTCGTTCGCGCTCTTCGTGGCCCCATACGCATTCCCTTCGTATCCCCGCTGTCGCCCGTCGTGGCCTACTTCGTGTCCTTCTGGCCCTGCTGTCGTTCTCTCTCGCTCTCGCTTTCGCTCGTCGTCGTCGCCGTCGTCGTCGTCGCCGTGGTCGTCGACGTCGTCGTCGTCGTGGTCGGTCCCCTGTCCGTCCCTCTTGGGGTCGGGCCGACGGTCCGCGGCCGCCCCGCCGCTTGCCAGGGCCCGGCCTGCAGGGAAGACAGGTATACCCCCCAAAAGGGGTTCGATCGAAGACGAAGAGGGCGGGTATCGAGGGTTTGGGAAATACGCGTTATTGGACACTCGAGCAGATAAGGGCGAACAGTCTTAAAATGATTGTTCTTGTTGCTGTAGTCCGTGGGCTAACAAAGCAGTCTGAGGAGGAATACTTTCCTTGATCAAAAACAAGGTGCGAGCCCCTGGAGGGGCACTTCAATTGAGAAACACATTGTTACCGGAGGGGACTCAACAATAATAACAACAAAGACAGCAACACCACCAACAACAACAGAAGCAGTAACAACAACAACAACAACAACAGCAGCAGCAGCAGCAACAACAACAACAACCACATCAGCAACAACAGCAACATTATTGTTGGTTTTCTGAAGTATGTCTGTCCTCTCGGAGGTGTTCCTGGGAGGCTCCGTGGCCACTTGGAACCATCTTGTGGCGGTCTTGGGACTTATTGGTGGCGTGTGGGAAGCTATGTTGAACACGCTTGGGCTGTTTTGCTATCTTGAAAGCCATGTTGGGTTAGCTGGGGCCCTCTTGGGGCCGAATGGGGGCCATCTTTGGGTGTTAACGACCCGCGGAACGTCCCCCCCCAGACCCAGGGAGAGAGGGCAGGGGGAAATGTAAACCTTCCCCCCAAGAAAAAAAGGGGCTGGAATTAGTGACTCGGTGAAAAATAAAAAAAAACGAAGGTCTGGTGGGAGTCGGTGGGATTCGGTTTCCATTCTGCGTGAAGGTTCCATCCTTTCTTTGCTCGTCTGCTTCATGATCCGCCATCCTTCGTCGGTACCGCGATACTGCCAAACTCGCCCCTGGCGCCGGGGCGTGGAAGCTGCCGCCTGCGCCTGCGGCATCGGACGGAGGATTCCACCTCGCACGCCCTCGTCCCTGTTTTTTCCCTCCTGTCTTCAACACCCATTGTCCTCCCCGTTGCATTCCTGGGGCTGGAAAGCTAAAATGGGCCGAAGAGTCGGCACATTTGCCCGGACCCCGCCCCCCGCCAAGGCACTCCGTGCGCGCGTCGCGAGCATCCAGGGGCTGTCCTAATCCCTTGCTGTCTGCCTGCCTGAACTCAGGAGGATCCGCCATTAGGGGTCGTAGCATTCAGTTGAAAAGAAGGGCCCCGTCGTGACTTGAACAATTCACACCCGCTGTGGATTGGAAAACGACAACTGCAGCAGGTTGGAACAATGAGGTGATTTTCGCTGACGGGGATTTTTTTTTGTTCACGCCATTGTCGCATCATTGTCGCGCCATTTGTCACGCAGATTGCCACTAAGGTTTTGCACCAGCCCAAGGAGCCAGATTTTCACACCGCAACAGCTCCAGCGCCCGCGGCTGCAGATGTTCCCCAACCCGGGGAGCAAGCCGGCCCCAGAGCGCAGTCAGGCATGCCCCGCCCGTCCGGCGCCCCCAACAGGCCGCCGGCGCGGGACGGGGTCTGGGCAGATGCGCCGACTCTTCGGCCATATTTGGCGTCCCGACCCCAGGGGTGAAACGGGGGAGGACAATGGCGGGTGGAGGAGTAGGAGGAAAAAAGCAAGGACCAGGGCGTGCGAGGCGACATCCTGCATCCGATGCCGCAGGCGCGCGCGCAGCAACTTCCACGCCCCGACGCCAGGGACGAGTTTGGCAGCATCGTGGCTCGGACGCCAGAGGAGGAGGGGTGGAGAAGAAGGCGGGTGACGAGAGGGTAGAATATGAAACCTTTACGCACAATTGCAACCGAATCCCACCAGCTCTTCGGCCATAGGTGGTTTAGAAAGTTTGTTATTGCAGCCTCTTTTTTGGGGGGGGGGGGACCTCTTCCCCCATCCCCCCTCCCTGGGTCTGGAAGGGGAGTTCCTCGGGGCATTGGAGGGTCCAAGATAGCCCCAAGACGGCCCCAAGAGGGCCCCAGCTAGCCCGAGATGGCATCCAAGATCTTGCAATATAGCCCGATATGGTTCAAGATAGCTGCCGACATGCCTTTAATAAGCTTCGAGATCACCCCAAGACGGTTCCAAGTGGCCATGGAGCCTTAAAGTACCCCCCCCGAGGGACCAGAAGCATTCAGAAGCTATCAGGAAGTCAAGGTGTTGTTATAGTATCTCGCCTCTTGTGTCCGATGGGCTCTCGAGACTCCAACATGGCTCCAGGGTGGCCTAAGCGAGCCCCCAGAAGGGGCCCTAGACGGTTCCGAAGGCGCCCAAGAGCACCCCATTTAGCACCCTTGGCTCTTCTGCTGGGTGTCCCTGGGTGATAATGGTGGGCGATAGCTGGGGACAGGTCACAGGTTGCAGGGAAGGGCCCCCAAATAGCCCCCCAGAAGGGCCCCCAGAGGCCCGCCCGCAAAGCGCAAGACAGGTGCATGTTGCTTCGCCCCCTCGTTTACTGCCCTCCCGCTGAGCAACGTCCGTGCCAGGCGTTCGATCATGGCCCCTTCTTCGACATCCAGCTTTCGCGCAAGACACCGCGAGAGACCGCCGCCGAAGACCCCTGGAGACAGCCCAGGGCCACCGAAGGCCGCCGAGGGCTGGCAGGCAACAGGGGGCCACTGGCGGAACGCGGAGCGCGCACACCTGCCAGCATCTCTCGGGCTGCCTTCGACCGCGCGAGGGGCGCCGCAGCCGCGAGGCGCGGAGCGTGTCCGCTGCTCTCGGGCCGCACTTCCGCGGGCGGGACACTGCGCTCGACTTGTTCGGCACATCGCTGCCCCTAGGATCCAACAGCTCCTGGCCGAACTGGAAGAGCAGTTCGACGCAGCTGCAGTCGAAACGTGGCCCCGCGCAGGTCGCTGCCCCTGGAATCCAGCAGCTCCCGGCCGAGCTGGAAGAGCAGTCCGACGCAGCCGCAGTCAATAAAAGTGGACAGGGCACGGCAGCGGCACCAAGAGAGACTGCACTATACTGCCGGCCCAGGAGGCCAGGAATTCTCGCCCCCCAGCGCGTGCTTCCGCCGTTTCTCCCAGCTCCACCGCGCAGCGACGCAGCACTGCGAGCTGAGCTGCGAGCGCGGCGGTGGCGCAGGCAGCCGGCGCGCCGACCCCGCGCGAACCTGGACGAGCAGCACGGCTGCTGCGGCCACGGTGCGGCTCCCCAGGCGCAGGAGGGCTCTGCGACGACCGGGCCGCGGGGGGCGGCCGCGACGCACCGCGCGGAGCACGACTGCCAGGGCAGCGCGCGCGGCGCTGGCGGGGGCGGCAGGTGCAGCCCCGCCGGGCTCCACGCGGAGCTGCACGAGCAGCCGGCAGAGCAGTGCCCTCTCGACGACCCGGGCCGCCATGGGCGGCCGAAGCGCACCGAGCGGAGCACGACGGCCAGGACAGCGTGCGAGCACCTGGCAGGGGCCCCACCGGACCCCCCCGCGACGCGGAGCTCACGACGGAGCAGCGGTTCGACGACCAGGCCGCGGAGTCGGCCGAGGCGCACCGCGCGGGGCGCGACGGCCAGGGCGGCGAGCACGGCGCTGGCGGGGGCAGCAGGCACAACCCGACCCGACTGCGCGCGGCGCTGGGCAAGCAGCAGCGGTGCGACGGCCACGACTGGAAGTGCAGGGCGGAGGAGCGCTTCGACGACCAGGCCTCGGAGTTGAGTGTATTGGTGCATGTTGAGGCACGCAGCCCCGGTGGCCTCCCCGGTGGCCTCCCCGTGGAGGTGGCGGACGCGCGTGACCAGGCAGGCTCCGGTCCTGGGTAGGAGGGCCCAGCGAAGACTCGTCGCTCGTAGGCCCTGGTCAGTTGTGTGTGTTTGCCAGGCCGCGAGTCAGAGATCATAGGCTTCTTGCTGGCGGAGGAAGTCAGTGGGCCCCACGCCTCGCTGCGTGTGCACGATCAGCACATCGAAGACAGGGTGGCGCAGGTCCCCCGTGGCACGACCGACGCAGACCTCCATCCATTCTTCGGAAGCGTCGCCCTCGCCATCCCGTGGTGACCACGGCAGCGGTGTTGAGCATGCGATCGGGAAGGCGCCGGCGACTCTGGCTGGCCACTCCCTGCCTCGTGCGGCTCCGACGTTGTCGGGGGCTGTGGAGCATGCGGGTCTGGAGGAGAACACCCCAGAGATCCGATGTCGTGATTTTCTCCATGCGTGGTCCCCGGAAGTCTCGGCCCATTCCCCGGGACCGGTTTCTCATCCGGAGTCGTTTTGTTGACAGTCTTGGGGCCCAGCGAGGGCCGCTGGAGGCCGGAAAATATGAAAAACTTCCGTCTTGATTGTTTCAATACTTCGGATCTTGGGGACCCCCCCTCGTCAGGGTCCTCGATCGGGTCGTCCACGGGGCTGCCCGCGCCGTCGGGGTCCTGCACGGGGTCGTCGCCGTCAGAGCGTGGCCCTCCGGCGCGAGGTGTGGCGCGCCCCTCGGCCGGTGGGCGCGCGGAGCGGGCGTGCCGCGATCACCGGGCAGCCGGCCAGGGCTGGTGTCCATGGGCGCCCTTGTCGCAGCGTCAGCGCCTGACGTCGCTGAACGAAAGGGGGGGGATTGGGAAAGGAAGGGGTTACGAAATCTGCCGCATGCAGCTGGTTTCGGCACCACCGAGGGGCCCATTCATTTCTCGATCCACAGCCGCCTCCGGCGCCGGGAGGCGCCAGGAAAATCAGCTACGTGAGTTGATTCTCAACCCCCTCCTTTGCTATCCCCTCCTGTCGCCCGGCCCGAGACTGGGAGCCAGCGCTCCCAGGCACGTGCGGCACGTGGCCCGATGCAGAGCCTGAGCGTTGTTCGTGGCGCAGCGTTCCGCTGGCCGTCAGAGGGTGCACTTCGTGGCTTCTGGCGCAGGGCCGCCTCGCTTCAGGAGCACGTTGGCGCCCCGCGTTGAACCCGGGGCGCTGTTGGCACGGGCACGGCCGACTGCTGCGCACGGGCACGGGCACGGGTCTACCATTGGACCCCACTGCCTCAAGGGGGCTTTGGTCGGGTGCGACGTCCGCCTCCTTCTCGGTGCTGCCGGCTCGCCGGCGTGGCCCCTGTCCGCTGGCGCCTCGCAGTTGTTTTTCTCCAGGCGGGGAGGCGTTCGCGGGCAGTGTCGCTTGAAGGTTCGGACGCGCTTGGAGCACACACATTGTTCGTTTCTATTTTTTCGAAAGTTCTTTGATTTTCTGGGGGCAAGATCCTTTCATTTCTAATTGTTCTATCCTGGGCCTCTTCCTGGCCACTAGGGGGCCAGGAACAATTAGAAACGAAAACAATTAGAAACGACCACGGTTAGAAATGAACGACGTGTAGTCAGACTGGAGGCCTCAATCTTGACGATGGCCCAGGGGACGGTGGAACCGTGGACGCGGGCCGTTGTGTCCGGAGGGGCCTTGGCCATTTTGACCTTGTCGAAATCGCCCCTGGCCATCTTGCCCCATCCTGCGCGTTCGACTTCGCAGTGCCACTTTTTGCGCGAGAGGACCTTGGCAGCTTGCGTATTTGTGTCAATATGCTGCCCAATGCCTGCGATGCGGTACCTAGCGTTAGCCAGCGCGGCGTCAGTTCTCCGTAGTTCGAGGGCGACGCTTCGCTTCCTGGGTGTCAGGATTGGCTCTGAGGCCCACGCGGTTGTCCGCTCGGGCAGCACCTCAGGAGTCTCATGGCCTCTTGCATTTTGACAGTGCGGAAGCGGGACAAAGCACGGTAGCGAGAGCGTCCGCGAGGTCGTCGTCGGGTTGATTGTGGGAGGCGATTGTTTGACGGAGGCACGGCGTTCCCTCGCCTTTTGCCGCGCCGTGCCTGGCCCGCTCGGGAAGAGATTTCCGTTGACGGGTGCAGCGCCTGAGAACTGTGCCGCGAGCAGTTCTTCGAGCGTGGGCGTGACCGCAATCGCGTCAGCCTCACAGATGGCGGCGCGGATCCAGACTGCGTTGTCAGCTGGGTCGAGAGCGACTTGTACTACGTTTTCGATGCATTTTACCTCGCCCCGTCCTAGCTGGCAAGTGGTCCCTTGGATGTGTCCGAGCGGGGGCTTGGTAAGCCTTGGCCGCACGACAGAGGACTGGGATGAGGACCTCGCGTCTTGGGTAGTCGGCGCTGATAGGTCCCAGGACTGCGAGCGCTAGAGATTTGTCTTGCGCTCGGATCTGCTGTAGCAGACGGTCAGCTTCCTGTAGCGTGCGAAGTGAGATGCTCTTGGTGTACGACGTCCCGTCGCCTTCTTTCTCGGGTACGGTGGTTACGGTGACGTCCCAGTGTTGTGCATCTCGGCTGATGAGAGGACCCGTGCTGTTACCTTGGTGGGCTTCCGCGTCGACCGTGGTCTTTGGTGGGTCACGGTATGAGGCCTTGTTGCGCGCGAGGGAGTAGTGCAGCATGGTGTGGATGATTTGGTGTTCTTTCCACACTCTCATTCGCCCGCCACGAAGCACCCGTCAGTCGGAGCGGTCTTGATGCGAGATCGTGCCCAGATCGGCGTGGTTCTAGTGAGCAACTGCTCTGTAGTGCGGCGACTGCCGGCTTCATTTCGGGACCTGTTGCTACCCAGTAAGCTGGCCTGTTGGCGGCCCTTGCCTGGTGGCTTGGGCTGCCGTGGTGCAGGGGCGCACGGCGGGGGCCTTTCGGAGCCATGGCACGCGCGCGGGACTGCAGGGATGCGACGCCCTGTGTGTCACGGCCCGGATGGGGCCGTGTCCAGCCTCGCGAGGCAAGAATGGCTGCGGGGCGCTTGGCGTCTGAGCTCGCTCTGAGCAAAGCTCTCGAGCCGAGATCTGAGAGGAGGAGAGGGGACAGAGGAAGGGAGAGGAGGACCCAGGGGGAGAGGAGGAGGGAGGACAGAGGAGGAGAGAGGAGGGGAGAGGAGGACTCGGAGGTCGTGCTCCAGCCAATCGGGAAGGACGCCTGGCGCCCCTGCCCCCGCCACCCTCGGAAGGACGCCCTGCTGGCCGGGCGCGACGCGGAGCCCGAGTTGCAGGCCAGGTGTCGTCGTCCAGTGGCGTGTAGCGGAAGCCACCAGGGCGCCTTGCCGGCGCGCGTCCCCAGACAGGAGGCGCCTTACCGAAGTGGGCGTGCTCAGTCCGAGGGGGTCGGCACAGCATGAAGTATGATTGCAGGCGATTGGCAAGCAAGACAGGAGGGGCGTATCGACCCCAATCGTCCACTGCTCGCCGATAGGGGCCCGATAAGCCCACCCCTTCCCAGCGCACGGATTCGCTGTCGGAGGCCTATCGCCGATGCATCAACGAAGTATCGCAGATCCCAGGTTGATGTTTCCCTATCGAGCCAGCCCCGCCCCTAATATTCTTATCACGCTGGAGGAGCCGGGGGGAGCAGCCACCAGACACCGCGGCCCTCCCGGATTCTCCGACGTTGGAAGTTTGAAATGTCGTTCGCTTTCGTCGGTCCCAGGACGCTCTTCAGCCTCGTGATGCTGTTCAGCGGCTGCGCCTCGCCGAAGGAACCCGGGGGGAGCCCGGATCGTCCCGAACGGCCGCCGGAGGTTCGAGTTATAGGCTGGAAGCCACCGAGGACCCAGATATCCAAAGGTATGCTTCCTTCAGTCCCCGCATTCCTCCTCGAGCTCGGCCTCCAGGGCCCGCTGTCGGGCCCCAGGGCTCTCAAGAATGGCTCAAGGACGAACAAAGCACACCCGGGGAAGTGGTTGGGGGACCTCCCCAAGGCACCGACGCCATGATTTTTTGTCACGACGCGGGCCCCCAAAGGTCTGGACCCCATCCCTGGGACCTGCGTTTCATCCTGTCCCTTTTCTTGACGGTTTCGGGGCCCAGTTGGGGGTCCCCATTTGCCGACAATTGCCCGAAACCGTCCGCCATGTTTTTTCACAGCGCCAGTGGGTCTTTGTCTAGGGCGGCGCATCGAAAATGACACCTTGCCGGATAGTCGGATGTATGGGGCGAGGCGTGGGGTTGCGCATTGGCCCAGACATCCGATGTCTTGATTTTTTTGTTCATGTGGGGCCTCTGGATGTCCCGACGCTTTCTTCCTATCGGCCAGTTTCGTCCCTAGTCCTCTTGTTGACGGCCCTGGGGCCTGGTAAGGGCATCCAGAGACCGAAAACGACCAAACGCCACCCGTCGTGACCTTTTCACGACCCGAGCAATGCATGGGGTCATTGGGTTGACCCACAAGGGGGTCCAGCAACAAGGTGGTGGTGCAATAGATTTGGTGCAATAGATTTGTGGAGTTGCATCGCATGTGGGGCGTGCAATACATTCCGGGGCACAATCTATTGCTGGATTTTCGCGTGCAATACATTACTTGCAACACAACGCAGTGCAATTCTCCAGCGCAATACATTTGCAATAAAATTGTCCCAAATCTATTGCACCACCCCTTTTGAGTTGGACCCCCTTTTGGTGTGCTTGAGGTCAGCACCCCCGAGGCGGTCCCGGCTGGCAAAACACGCCCTGCCATGGGCACCCAGCACCGCTTCTGGCGGCGCCTGGGGCGGGGTGCCCTGCGCCCCATGGGCTGGGGTGTCCATCCGCCCCGGGCCACTCGGGGGGGGGGCCTGTTGAGGCCAGCCGGGACTACCTCGGAGGGGCGGCTGCCCGAGCGCAGCCCAGTGCCCTGCCAAAGAATGTTCTAAGAACCTTTTGGGGAAATGTTCTTAGAACATGTTTGACTGAGATTGCCCTGTTTTCAATACATCGGGCTTTTTGTTCTAAGACAAGTGTCTTTGTTCTTAGAACACTTATGGGTTCTAGGAACATGTCGTGGTAGGCCTATAGGAATGCCGGGACGGTCGGTCCCTGCTCAAGCCTGAGCGCAGCCCAGTGCCCTGCCAAGGGCGGCGACGATGAATTGGGAGGCGGAAGAGGAGGAAGGGACGGGCGGGGCGGGGGAAGAGGCTCAGGGTCAAGAGGGGAAGAGGTGCCGATGCTGCTGCCAGTCCCTCGCCGCCACGGCCGGATTCGCCTCGAAGCACTGGTCGGAACGCACCCTGGGAGAGGTCCAGAAAGAAGGGGCATCGGCGTCATCGCTTCCCCTTCAGAGGAGCGGGCTGAAGAGGAAAACAGAGAGCAGCTGCCGAAGAGCAGGAAGAAGAGGAGGCAGCGCTGAGCAGGAGGAGGAGGAGGAAGAAGAAGAGCAGCAGCAGATTAGCCACGATTAGGGGAGCTAGATGCTCCTTGCCCCCCCCGAGGGAACCCTGCGGGGCCCAGTGGCTACCCCCCCCCTCGGAGAGATCGTCGTATCATCTTTGCCTCCCCCGAAGGTGGGAACACACAACCCCCCCAGTTGTGGTTGGTCGGATCGGCCACTGGTGACATCGTGAGGATGACGACGAGGCGGAAGAGGTGGAGGAGGACAAGATTGGGGAGGAAGAGAGAGAGCAGTCATTGAGGAGATGGAGAAGGAGGAGGAGGAGGAGGAGGAGGAGGAGGCGCTGAGGACTAGGAGGAGCCGCCTCTGGAGACCGCTGGACACAATGATGACGACGACAAAGACGATGGCGACGAGGCGGAAGAGGTAGAAGAGGAGGATGCTGGGGAAGAAGGGTAAAGAAGAGGAGGCGGCGCCATAGCGACCACCCCCACCCCGACTCCGCCTTCTCAAGGGAACGTATCAACATACGGTGCATTTCAATTTGGACGCTGCCTCACGTTCCGGCGAGTCTCAACACAAACAGGCAAAGCCCAGCGAACTTCACTTGGATTTGGGATTTGCCGCCGTGAGCAAAGCTTTCCCATGTTCGGAGCTACTCACAAGTTCTGCTCTGTCTCGTTGATTGCGGAGGCCTCCACAGGCCCCTGGAAGCCGAAAACGTCCACAGCCTCGACCCTTGATCTCCGATCGTTGACGTCGACGACGAACGACGACGACGACGACGACGACGACGACGACGACGACGACGACGACGAGGCCGCCGACGATCAACGGACGGACGGACGGACGGTCGGACGACGACGACGGACGGCGATGATGGCGACAGTGACGGCGACGACGACGGCTGACGACGGACGACGGCGACCAGGACCTCAATCGATCGACGACGACGACGGCAACCCCGGCGACGTCGACAGCGGTGGCAGACGACGATCGGGTAGGCCTAGCACGCACACGCATCGCACCAGAGCGTTCGGGAACAACCTGAGTGCGCCCTGGAACGCCTTGAAGCGGTCACGGCGCTCGATACGTCCTCCAGATCCGCAAGCTTCCAGAGGTTCCCGATTTATCTCGACTCGAATTCCCAGACATCCCACGCCTTGATCCTTAACACTTCACAGTCCCAGGATATCCCGAAGTTTTCCTCTTGGATGGCTTGTCTCTGAGTCGTTTCGTGACAGTCCTGAGGCCCAGCGAAAATCCGCAGAAACCGAAGACTATACACGTCTGTATGTCCTTATGTCTATATATATATATATGTATATGTATACTACGGATTCAGATGTGTTAGCCAGCAGGGACCCAACACAGCGTGTTTCTATATATGTATGTATATATATATATATATATATATATATATATGTATGTATATATACATATATATATATGTGGTCCTATTTACGTGACATCAGTTCTGCCTGTTTGCAATGCGTTGCCAGCCCCATTGCTCAAGCAATCATCCCACACACCCACCCGCAACTTGGTTTGCATAGGCCCATGCGGCGGCGATTGCGATGAACGCTCGGCGTTGGCAGGTGCATCCCTGCGGCCGCGCTAGGCCCGTACTCGCGCGCACAGCGGCCAGCTAGGTCGGCGCGACTGACGCGGCCGCGGTGGCACTTCCCATCGGGAACTTCAATGCGAGTCGGCGACTTGGGCGGGCGCGGTTTCATGGCAACGTCGACAACGATCGACGCGAGGATGAGATTAGCGATGCTGGTGACGATGAGGACAACGACGACGGCAAGGCCAGTGACGTCGGCGATGCTAATCACGCCGACGAAGATGACGGCGTCCTCGCATCGGCGATGAAGGTATCGGAAGTAGTTCGACGCGTGCGCGCGGCCGGCGCGCGAGAGCGGCCCGCATAACATTATTTGACGCAGATTGCGCCCCCCCCCCCAGCACGCGCGAAAAGGCGCGCGAATGATTTCGACAATCGGCGCGAAAGGCCCGTTTGGCAGAATCCTATGGACATGGTTGAAAATGCATTGTTCCCCGAAGAGTTCGCAAAAGCGCGAACGCAGGCTTCTTTTGAACAGTTTCGCTGCAAAGCCAGATGTTTTTGCATGTTTCCGGGGCGCTCGGCTTTGAAACCTTGGCGAATCCTTAGGTCTTTGAAGAATTCTGGCGCGCGCTCGACGAGGCGCGCGCGCACCTCGTCTCTTTTGCAGCGCGCGCGCAGGGGCGCTTGAGCGGTTTCCACGCGCGCGCGAGAAGCCCTTTTGGTAGAATGTGATGAGATGAAAACGTTGGTTGAAGAACCGATGTTTTCTCAAGAATTCGCAGGGGCGCGGGCGCAAACTTGCTTCGAACATTCTTGTTGCGAGACCACATGTGTGTTCTGGACGCCCGAGTCCGAAACCCCTGCGAAGCCCAAGGTTTTTGAAGGGTTCCAGCGCGCGACACGCGCGCGCTTCGTCCCACACGTCGCAAGGGATTCTTGGAAACTGCTGATCTTTGACAAACGAATGCGCGCGCGTATGTTTTAGCAGAGATGGGGGGCGTTGCCGACGCTGGCCTGCTTGGGATAGCATGAATCAGTTTGCTAGATGAGCGATGGGGCAGAATCATACGCAAATTGAAATTACGAAGATGTGAATGCGTTCATTCCGGGGCGGGGGAAGGAGATTTCATTATTCTCTTAGAGAGGAGAATCTACGCGGTGCATTAATCTTGACCGTCTTGAAGCTGTCCTCTCCACTGCTCGTGCAAACATCCCACCCTCCCACCCGCAACTTGGTCGCAAGACCTCTTCAGACAAGACCGTGACGGTAGGTACCACATGGCACTTGGCCACGACACCGATGCCGACGACAGCGACATCGACGACGACGGCGCCGCCGA